CTGCTGGAAAGGAAGTCCTTCTGAAAGCAATCATTCAAGCATTGCCAATCTTTACAATGTCATGCTTTATGCTTTCCCTCACTCTTTTTTCTGAAATCTCTCAACTCTGTGCAAAATTCTGGTCGCAATCAGGGGAACAGTAGTCAAGGGGAATTCATTGGAAAAAGTGGTGTTTTCTTTCTTTACCAAAAAGAGATGGAGGGTTGGGCTTTCTGGACCTGCCACTTTTTAACCAAGCATTAATTTGCAAGAAATTGTGGAGAATAGCCACACAACCTGAACTTTTGGTTAGCAAACTATTAAAAGATAGATACTTCCCTCATTCAGCAATAACTCATGCAGGTAAAGTTGCCAATGGATCCTGGTTGTGGAATTGTTGGATGGAGATGATGCCATTCTTCTCTCAATGGTTAAGAACATAAATCAGAAGGTGAAACCACAAAGATTGTTGATTTTAACTGGGTACCAACTCTGCAGAAAACTTTCCCTACACTTATGCCATTAGCAAGAGACCATCTCATATGGGTCAAAGATCTTTTACACTCCAGTGGATTATCCTGGAATGAGTGGTTAGTGAAACAGGTTTTTGATCCAGTTGATAGTGAAGCCATTCTCAGAATTTCCTCACTTCATCCAGACAGAGCTGATAGACTCTTTTGAGGGTTGGATAAGAAAGGGCTATTCTCAGTATCTTGTACTTACCAATTTCTTTCCAAAGTCAAGCTTGCTAGGCTTGATATTCCAGAAACAAGCTCAAGGTCTTCCATCAGTAAGTCAGTACAAACCAGACATTGGAGTTTGAAAGTGGAGGGAAAGCTGAAGCACTTCCTTTGGAAGTGCATTACTGGAACTCTTCCTGTTGCAACCAGCTTGAGAAAAAGAAAGGTGGATATTGATCATATTTGCTCCATCTGTGGTGTGGCTTCTGAAACCTTTGAGCATGTTCTTCTATCATGTTCAAGAGCCTACAGATCTCCAGTGACCTGGCATGGACTGCAAGCAAGCATAGACTCATTCAAAGAATGGTGGTTCAAAATATGCTCTCTTGATCACTCTGAAGTCACTGAAGCTAGGATACAACTCTCAACATAAATCCTTTGGTGGCTTTAGAAATCAAGAAACTTATGGGTGTTTCAAAGCTCTCTCATGCCAGAAACCAAAGTGATAAAGATTGCTCATTTAGACTGGTTACAATTTATATTTGCTTCTTTGATGTAGTGTTGTTTTTTGTTTGGCTTTTTTATTTCCTTTTCGAAACCAGTTGTCTTGCTAGGCCTTTGGCAGTACAGGACTATTGGTTTCTTTGATTTCTCAGTTCATTGTTGTCGGTTCCTCTTGTTGAGGCTATAGACCATCTTCGAATGTGTCTCTCACTTTTCTCTTTTGAGCTACCTTTGTACTATAAACAGTGTATTAGGACATTGTCCTCGTGGTTTTAATGATAATCTCTCTATCATTTTGGGAAAAAAAAAATAATAAAAACATTAACATATATGTATGTTTGTTTCCATTTTATATTTTGTGTTTTTTTTTTAGTTTAGTGGATATTTTATTTGTTAATGGATGAAAATTAGTTTTTGATTTGGATGTGAACTTATATTTCCACAATTTACTTGTTTAGATATTTTTTAAATTCTAAAAATAGTTTTGTTAAATCCCGATAAAAAGATAGCTTATATTGATTAATTTTCTCATTAATTCAATTTGAGTTATAAATTATATTATGCTACTTATTTTACAATATGTAAGATAAAATTATGAAATAGTAATATTTTGAATTATATGTTAATTAACCCAAGTAATATAATATATCTAAAATGAGTTAATATATTTGGGGAATAATAATTGATAATAGTAGAACTTATAGGAAATATTTATGGATTTAATTAACTATAAAAAAAATAATTTTTAACATTTATATTATAAAAGAAATTACGAGATGCACAAATTGTAGTAAAATAATTAAAATAATATTTTATTAAATAATATTTTATTATATTTTCATAATAACAATTTGCTTTTTAACTTATATTATTTTATAAGTTGCTAATATCTTCGTGATTTTTAATGGGTTATCATTCTGTTAATAATTAAAATAATATATTATTAAATAATATTTTATTATATTTTTATAATAACAATTTTATTTTTAACTTATATTATTTTTAAGTTATTAATTACTTCATAATTTTTAATGGCTTAACATTTTGTTAACTTTCTAATTTTCTCTAATAAACTTTGGGTGGAAAAATTCCTTACAAAAATAGCACTAGAAATTTGCTAATAATAATTAATAATGGTATAACTTTTAATTTTTAGGAAATATGCTATGCATTTTATAAACTAAAAATAAATCATAGTCAGCAATGATATTATAAAAGTTGTATTATTTTATTTTCAAAGTTCACTTGCTTTTGTGTCAACCGAAACACATGCGGATGGAAAATAAATGACTAAAGTGCAAAAGACTTGTGAAACTCTTAACTAATACTAGCTTATCCACCAAATACAACGCACAAATTGTAGTACCATAATTAAAATGATGTATTATTAAATAACACTAGTGTGTATCCCGTGCGTTGCACGGACGAGCTTTTTACTTAAAACATTTTCTAAGCTTTATATTAAACATAGTTATTTATGTTTAACATCTCATTATTATAAAAGAAGAAATACCAAATATGAAAAATTATATATTATTTATTTGAATATAATGAGTATCCCCAACCAAACTAACAACATCCAACATATGATATATGATAAAACTAATTATATGATCGTCATACTTTTTGAAAGATACATATATTTCTAATAAACATGATACATTTAAGATCCGCATTTAAATTTGTATTTGGATATGGGATGAAAAATGAATATGTATAAAAAAAAAAGTACTAAGAACCCACATAAAATGAGATTCTTTATAAACTTTAAAATATTTTATAGTTAAGCAAATATTAACAATCAAAATCATCAATTAAGTTCAACTTTTCGAATATAAAATATAATTTATGATATCATTGACCATATTTACCCGTTGTATTTAAAGATATCATTGACCATATTTTTATGAATTAAGGTTTACAAAGTATCTTTTTCAAACTAACAATTTTTTTAATTTGAATTTGACTTTTTCATCCCATCGCCATTTTCCACAAAAATAAAAAAATAAAATTAGTATTTTGGAAAATTTTTTGACGTGAAAATTAAATAAAATTAATTTAATAGTAATCGATTAATTTAATATTATTCAAAATTGTTTAATTCGGTCAACCCGATCGCAATGCACGTTTAATTGAAACAATCGCTTACAAAAAAAAATGTAATCGCTTACCAAAAAAGGAAGTGAAATCTATCTATATAATATAAATCGGATTTGAAAAAAAAAGGAAATGAAATTTCGTAATTAATTAATTTAAATTGATGTTATCCGATTTATATCAACTCCCTTCCAAAAAAAAAGGAAGTTAGAATATGTTGGATTCATTTATCTATAACTAATCATACACGTATTCAAAATTTGAACCCAAACAAAATTCTTTGAATTTTTTGCTAACAAAATCACCTTCCCATAATTTATTTATTTCAAAAAATGTTACCACACAATCTTTTTAATTTTTTTTTATTAAATTTTATTTACATAAAATATACATTTGTTAATATTAAATTGAATTTAAAATTCCACTCATCACAAATTATATATATATATATATATATATAGAGAGAGAGAGAGAGAGAGAGAGAGAGAGAGGATTCTTTTTTTTTTTTACATATTTTAAAAAAAATCTAATCAAATTTTGAATCCCAAATTAAAATCGGATTGTATTGTGAACTGAAAAGATTTGAAATCTAATCATGTTGTAGATAAGGGAAATCCATGGCAAAAAAGGGGAAATCAAACCGGAAAAAATTGAAACCAAATCATGTTGTAGATATATCTTCATTAAATAAGACTTGCATGGCACAAAAAATTGGAAATGCATGGCAGAGTCTAAAAATTCGAATTTTTCAAAAAATTACAACCGAAAGATTTTGGTAAAAAACCAAATATAAAAGAGGGAAATGACTTTAAGAAAGCGGGAAAACGAAATAATTTTTTTCGAGTTTTTTGAACAATTTTTCTTAACCGTATTATATATTAATAGATTTTATTATATTTTCATAATAAAAATTTGATATTTAACTTATATTATTTTATAAGTTATTTATTACTTCTACATTTTAATTTAGAACATTATATATTGTTATTTTTTAATTCTACTTTGAGCAAATAATACGCATATGATTTATAATTGCGACCCATTAGTTCTTCATTTTAATGTCATTCTTCATTTTAATGCCATGTAATTGGTGTTTGAAATAGTTGTTTATCTCTTTTTTCATGTTTTTATTTATTTTCAACATAATGTTTTTCAAACTAATGCATGAAAAATGCACTAACATGTGGTACTATTTCATGTAAAATAATTATTTAAGAAAATAACTTCACACTCATTTTTTATTTATGTTTTCATTGTGTTACCCACTATGAGGGTCAAATCATATGTTTACATATTTAAGATTTATTTGGAGTAAAAATAATTTTGCTTATTCTATTTTCTAGTTTTTTATATATGAATCTATATAAATATATTTAGAAAATATACATAAATTATTATGTAAATTTAGTTTAATTTTTAAATTTTAATGTCGTGTGTTTGAATAATAATTATACTGTAGCGCCCCGTTCGAATAATAGAATTTATGTGATTATTTGGATTTTATGAAATTTCATGGCATTATTTATGTGAATATTATCGGTTTTATTTATTTAATTATGTATGTATATAATATTAGGATTATTTTTAGTTATTAGATTGCTTGTTCGGTCCATCTTTAGTGTACAAATCGGCCCACGCTTATTAATTGGTTGACCCATTTGAGATAAAACTTAGCCCATTTTGTTAAGCCCAAGTGATCATTCCAGCTGCCCTAAATTCCCTTTTATTTTCTCCCCGCCATCAGAACTTAATCTCACAGCCACGCCATTCCTCTTCGATCTCCCGTCGTCTCTCTCTCTCTCTCTCCTCGGCAGAGACGAGCATCAACAATCCCGGCAAGTTCGAACTCACTCCGACCGGTGAGCTTTTATCCTTGTCCGGCGATTTACCGAGCACGCCACCGCGAGACCGAACTTTGAGCAGCAGCGACGGAGCTTTTCCCCGACGTCGAGCTACATCCAACCTCCGATGAGCCCCGACCAACCACTGCTGAGCCGTCGCGAGGCCGGAATCCGCGACACCCGACCACCATCCAAGGCCAAATCGAACACCGCCGAGGTCCCACAACACTAGATTCGCGAGTCCCGACCGTTGCCCGGCGATTTTGAGCTCTCGGCGATCAAGCTCTGTTCAGCCCCGTCCTTCAGCTACGGCTGAAACCTTCGATTTCCAGCCACGCCCTCAACCTCGACAACTGGCGGCCGTTTCTGGACAGACCTCAATCTTCGACCTCGACCGGCGGGATCGAGCACAGTCGAGGAAACTCGAGCAGTCCAGGCCTTGAGCAGCAAGCCATCGGGCTGCAGCAAATCGAGCCGTTGTCTCCGAACCGAGAGCCTTCCAGCCGAGAGCCTCAGTCGAGGCCCTTTTCATACCCAAGCCTCCCTTTCGGTTTTGTTTTTAGGCCCGGAATCGGTAAATTGGCCGAACCCTTTAAGCTTTGTTTTGGTCGAGAATATTTAGTTATGTGTTTGAATGATGTGCTATGTTTGTACCCGGTTTGGCCGTGTGGTTGCCTTGTGATTGTGAAGAGCCTTCATGTGTATAACTGGTTTGATTAAATTATGAAATTGATGGACTTGGAAGTTCATAAATTGAGCGTCTTGTATTGCCATGTTGCTGAACCTTATGTGATGTATTTATCATGTTGGAAACTGAGTAAATTTAGAGCTTTTATTCTAGTTATCTTTTATCCAAAGCATGTGTTATTGAATTGAAGAGAAATGAAAGGAAAATGAGGCTAGAATGCCTGTTAGTGTGACCATGCTGTTGCTATTTATTTGCTGTCGTAATCATGTGATTTACGTGATGTACTTATGACAATATTATAGCCTTTAATATCATTTATTATGTGTCTTTGAGTATGTTTTATTGTGATAGATAAAGAGAAGGAATCGAGGCATGTATACTGTGGAATCTTTGACCTCATTGTGTTGAATCTGTGCCTTTAAAATTATGTAACTATAAGCATGGTAGCAGGCATTAAAACATCATGTGTAATTAAGTATGTTAGAAATTATGATGCAAGTTATTTTTTTTAGTATGACATCATCTTTAAAAGTAATGTGTATATTAGGTGCTTCATGTGTTGATTGTTAAAGCATGTCAATAGATGATGCAGGTATTATTTAGTTTAAAGAGTACATTTGTCTTGCTGTACTTAAATATTTTTTTGAGTTCATTATGATTGGAGTTAAGCATGTGCTATGGTGATTTTTTTTAACATGTTTTAAATATTAAAGTGCTGCTTGGTTATTTGCTTATTGAATGGAGAAGCATGTTGAATTGTGTATTGTCGAGACCTTACTATCAGTTTTAAAGCTTTATATGTGTTGTTTAAATATTGAGAAAAAGTAGAAAAGACAAGAAGGCTAAACTTTATGTATCTGTGTGTTTATTTATTTATTTATTTTTATTTCCTATATGATGTGATTTTATGAGATTTAATTTTTGTTAATATGTGTTTATTTGTGAGTTTAAATTAGTGTTATTATATGATNTTAAAAAAAAAAAAAAATAAAGGGATAGAAAGTTTTATGTGATATTTTATCTGCCTATCTTGCCTGAATTATGTGCTCTTATCTGCAATGTGTCTTACATGTTTTAATGTGTTGTTCTGCATTTTCAATCAAAACCATGGTAATAAGACTTAATAATAAAAATGTAGGTATTTGAGGAGTCGAGCCCTCTGCCTACTCTCGTCTGAATATCGTGTTTGTCGTCTGTTTCGACTAATCAGGTGGGTTGTTATTCTAAAATTGGCTATACTGTAAATGTTATAAACTTATAATTTCTGGGTTTTATTTAAAATTGCTATGCAATAAATTGTTGGCTTACGTGTGGTATGATCAATGTATGCATGTGAACCATGTAGCCTTCGATGTGAGCTGTACCGGTCGTTGAACGGTTATTCCCGTAGCTATAGAACCTACCGATGGGTAGTCTCCTTTATTTATGTATGGCCGTAAGACCGGGGCATGGGCCCTCGGCTGGTGATCCCCGTTTGTAAGACTAATTCGTAGGTCTTGGCCGGCAGGGTGAATTACTCCTACTGGTTGAGCATCGTTGTAAGACCAAGGCGTAGGTTTTGGCATTCGAATCGAGTATTAGCAGTAGTCTATGCGTAGGTGTGCACACGAGGGTTGACTCTGGGATAGGAGATGGGATAATAAAATGATTTGTATACATGCTGCGACCATACTTGACTTATTTATGATTACTGTTTTACATGTTGATTAATGTTTACTGCATAGTGGTGAACACTACTTTTTCCAACTGTGCTCATCCCCACCTGAAATTCACGTTTCAGGTTAAGCGAGGCAGGTACGACGGCGGAGTAGAGCGAGTGGTGGTCGGTCTATGAGGCCGGTTTAATTATTTATTTTGCTTCCGCATTGTGTATACCCGAGAGTTCTGGGGGTAACGCCAGACAGTAGACTGTTACGTCAACTCGTTCGAGAATATCGAATGGCCCTATGAATCAGGGTTGCAACTTCCCCCTCTTCCCGAATCGTACAATGCCCTTCACGAGCACCTTGTCTCCCTGCTCAAACTCAAGCTCCCTTCTACTCTTGTTAGCATAGGTCTTCTATCGGCTCTGTGCCTCTCTTAGCTTCGCTCGGATCTCGACAACCTTCTGTACCGTGTCCTCGATCAACTTGGGACCTAGAACCAGTTTCTCACCGATTTCATCCCAATAAAGAGGTGAGCGACACTTGCGATCGATAAAGCTTCAAACCGCGCCATCTTGATCGATGAGTGATAGCTGTTGTCGTAGGAAAACTCCACAGTGGGTAACAACTTCTCCCGCGAACCACCATGCTCTAGAACACCAGCTTGGATCATGTCCTCAAGCGTCTGTATGGTCCGTTCTGACTGTCCGTTGGTCTGTGGGTGATATGTGGAGCTAAACTTCAACTTCGTCCCCATTGACTCGTTCAGACTCTCCCAGAAATGGCCAGTAAACCGGGGATCTCGATCTGATATAATCTCGGCAGGAACGCCGTGAAGTCGAACGATTCCCTGGAGGTACGTCTCGGCTAACTGCTCCATGGACATGTTCATCCTGACGGGCATAAAGTGGGCCGACTTCGTCAGCTGTTCTACTACGACCGATACTGCGTCGTGGTGCTTGGACGACGTCGGTAATCCCGTGACAAAATCCATGGTCAGCTTCTCCCATTTCCACTGCTTCCACTGCGGGATCTCTAAAGGCTGTAAGAGTCCCGATGGAACCTTGTGCTCGGCTTTCACCTGCTGGCAAACCAAACACTTCTCGACAAACTCGGCGACCTCTCGCTTCATACCCCTCCACCAAAATGATCCTTTCCAGTCATGGTACATCTTGGTGCTGCCGGGGTGCGCCAAGTATGGAGCACTATGCACCTCCGTCAAGATCGCTTTTCTTAAGGCCTCGACGTTCGGCACAACAATCCTTCCCTTATACTCCAAGGCACCATCTGTGCCTCGACTAAAGCCCTCGGCTCTGCTGGCACGGAGCTTCGCCTCTACTGAACGAATGAACTCGTCCGAAGGCTGATTCTGCCAGATCTTATCTCGAAGTGTTGGCCACACTCGCAATGAACTGATATTCCCCCTCCACTCTGGCTGGGGAAGTGAATCAACCACTTCTAGCTGCATCGGAGCGAATAGGGATGGCAATTTGACCCGGACCCGGTCCGACCTGGCCCGACCTGTAAGAATTGGGGTAGATTGGACCCGCCCCGTTACCGAAATGGGTCAGGGCGGGTCCGCCCCGTTGCGTACACGGGCCAGGTCTGGGGCATAGATGTCGCCCCGCCCCCATCTGCCGCGGCCCGACCTGGCCCGCTAGGGTAAGTAAGGTATTTATTAATTTCCCTACCTACAGGCTACCATATATATTTTCTCTTTTTTTTTTTTTCTCCTTCTTTTATTTCTGGTTATACATAGATGGGCATGAAATTTTCATTTATTTGTAAGGAATTGTCAGAATAAGGTACTAGCTATAGGCATATATAGATTTTATTAATAAATTAAACAAAAATATTTNAAAAAACGGGTCAGGTCGGGTCGCCGCGCCCCAATGCGGGCCAAGTCTCGTGGCCATCTTGGTCGACCCGTAGCGGGGCATGGGCCAGGTCGGGGCATGCGTGTGGAGTCACGGGCCAGGTCCGGGCATGGCACTACCTGGCCCGACCTGGCCCATTGCAATCCCTAGGTTTTATGATTATGAACTTAGAATATTCATGCGTTTATGATATTCGGGATATTGTTGAAGTAATGTTAAGGAGATGCTCCTTAGACTCTATGAATATTATTGGAACTCAGTTTGGGAGATTGATGAATTTTTGGAAAACCCGTTTTGGGAGTTGGAAATATTGAGCTTAATGATTGATTGAATATATAGAAATTGGTTAAGTATTGAAGTTTGTTTTGAAAATTGAGTAGTGTTTCAGGTGTTTTGAAATAAATTTGAAAAATTTATTCTGATTTTCGGCAAATAAAAGTGGGGCGTTACATATACAACTATGATTTTTTTTTTAAGTACATAAAATATAAATCTTAAACTTGAAACATTAGAAATACTAAAAAATACGAAAAACTCTCTCTTTGCGAAATCGAAGAAGAAACCCTATCTCGTTGGCAAAAAATTGTCGTCGATTTGCCTTCTCTGGTGGCGGTGGGGCTTGGCCAGGGGTCGCCTCTGACCGCTCATCCTGTCCCGATGTCGTGTGCCCCGATTTTGCTGCTGTTTCTGCGTGATCTCTCCCTCGACCGACGGCGGCTCAGAGTTTCGAGGTGTGTTCCCTTGGTCGGATTCCGGTTTGCAATGGTTGGCCCCTTCCTGGTCGTCGGCGGACCCTTGTTTGGTGGTAAGCCCTCTGTCTCTCTCTGTTCTGTCTGTGATTGGAGTCCCCCCCGGTCGTCTATGTTCTCTCCGGCGGAGCTTCCGGTGGGGTTTCGGTTGTTGGTCGTTGGGATTCTGCGGTGGTGTTCGAGGTGTGTGGGTCTGGGGATGGGGAGAGATCCCGTCTGCTGCGTCGTTTCCCGGTGGTGGCGGATGGGGTTGACGAACTGTGCCACCTACCCCACTCCCCCCCTATTTAGGTTAGTGGTGTTAGGCGGCGGGGGGCAGGGACCGAGTTCTCTTGGGCTCGTCCAGTGGTGTTAGAAGGGCTCGGGAGGGGCTGGTGCTGGTTGGTTGGGTTCTTCACGGTTGTAGTCGGATGAATTAGGGAAATGGTTTGGGGCTCGGTTTCGGCTACTGTATAGGCGGTTGTGAAGTTTCGGTAGTGGTCTCTCGGGGCTGGGACTCCTTCTTGTGTCTATTGTTCACTGCTGGTTGGACCTGTTTGATTTGCTGGGGAAGGGCTGTTTGTTTTTTAGTTTATTTGTCGTTCTTGTTTTGTTTGTCTGTATAATCGTCTGCGTTTGTGTTAGTATATTTGTGTTTTAGGTTTGGGCCGTTGGCCTCGGTTAGCTGTGTGACCTTATTATCCTGTTGGGATCGCACACTCGGGCACTACACTGTTGGGGTCGTTTTGTAGTGTTTTAGTGTCGTTGTGTCTTTTTGAGTTTTTAGATTACCCCGTTGGGGTATCTAGGCAGTCTTCTGCCAGTCTTCTATACTCTTAGATAAAAATGAATATCCCTAATTCAAATTGTTTATATTTGATGGTTAATATGATATAGATTAAGATGATTAATAAGTAACATGTTGACGACGATAAGGTAAAAAATTTAAATCAAAATTAAAATATAAATGCTAATAGATATAACCCATTGTTCTGTTAGTATTACAATAACTTTTAAGGTAAAAGAAACTTTACCAGGTCCATATTATCATATCATTTTCATTAAAATTTAAAACTTCATGATTTTTTGACAATGTGTTAGTGCAAATAAAATTATTCCACATTTATGTTAGTCTTTGTGTACGTGTCTTCAATTTTTATTAATTTTACTTGAAACATTTGTTTAATTAGAATTGATTGATTGTCTTCAAACTTCCAAAATGAATATTTGTTGAGCTTCTTAGGCACGATTGGATATGAATCCAACCAGTTGACCAACTTTGTTTGGCTAAAATTAGTTAAAGTGAGTTAGTTTGAATAAAGTATAACGAGTGGATGATTTTGAGTTTGAAATTAAATAATATTTAAATTATAATAATTAAAATTGATGCGATGTAAAAGTAGGAAAGAGATTATCGAAAGTGATAGGTAGTTAAAATTATGTTAATAGATGAATAGTAAATAAAATTGATGCGATGAATAGGAATGATTGTTTATATGTATAAAAAGTAGTAGAGTTGGAGTTGGGTTTTCTTTTGAGTTAGATGACTCGATGTGAAGTAACTCAACTGATTATAACTGATTAAGACCGGCTATAACATATAACTAATATATAGTCACTCCCTTAGCAATTTGTTTCACATAATAAATATTATATGTATGATCTTACCCATTTTTCACTTATCTCTAACTTAAAATGTATATCTTAAATAATATATTTCTGTCAAATAAACTTAAAGACATGCAAATTCAATTAGACAAATTTTATGGTTCACGTGCAAAGCACGTTCACCTTACTAGTTTACTAAAATATGGAGATTTTTTATTTTTTTTCCCGAGCGGTAGGTTTTATAGACAAAAACACAAATTAAATACTAGAACAGTGAATTCGCTAAGAACCAACCAATCAGCAGAACTAGTTGGGAGAACTACACAAGTGTAGTTTAGAGGCAACTAAACGCCAACAAGCACACAACACACAAAAACCAACACGAAACTCCTATAAGAGGAGAGGAAAACTTCCATAAGAGGAGAAGATCCAAAGAGGGAGATTCGAAAAGACGCAACAAACACAAATCTACAAACCTACTACAACAGGAAACACAACAACAATATAGAAAACCAACAACACCGTGCCCATCAGACAACCACCCCATCGCCACCACGAACCGAACAAACACCAAGGCGCGGACAACCGAGAAGAGGCCCCAAGAACTACAGCCCACAACTGGAAAAACTGGAATCGAGCCGCAGAACTGAATCCCACCCTCGTAGTACCGTATACCCACCCAAGTCGGCCCACCACCACAGCCCCCTCCACACACACTGTGGAGCCGCTCCACAGCATAGAGCCACCGCCTGGAGGTTCGCGCCGTCCCAAGACTAGGGAAAGCCGGGAAAGGAAGGATCCATGGTTGGACTACCATCACAGACCACCAGAGGGTGTCCGTGATGACCGTCGGACCGACGAAACAGGCGATGCTCGCCGCGACCACGCCCACCGTGGCACTTGTTACAGAGCGAAACCACTTCGGTGCTTGAGAGCCGATACCGCCTTGGTCGTGCCGACGGACTTGGGTTCGAGCCAGATGCTCGCCAGAGGCGTGAGGACAATGGCCGCCCGAGGGGAGACGCACCCGAGAAGGAAGACGGCTAGGCTCGGCTGAAAGGATTTGCAAATAATTACTTCGTTTATATTTTGATGCCCTCTTCATATGCTAAGGGTAACTATTTATAGAACAGATCCTCAGACACGTGGAAAGTTTTTATGGGGCCGCTATTGTTGGGTTCGTTGAAGAACGTCAGTTATTGTGTATGCTTGAATATCTAAGAAATAAATCTTAAGTGTACAAAATAAATCTTAAGTATAACAGATCTAAAGTTAGGATTGAAACCGTGTTCTTTATAATTCTCGACTCTGTACAGACTTACACGGTCTATGGGACTGGATGGATGGTTCTGCCATGTGACCTCAAAGTCTTCAGTGGTATGTCTCGGCACTTCTCCAAACTCGCCTTTGTGGGCGATGAAAGTTCGGAGTGTCCCCTTCACAAATCTCACTTGATAAGTTTTTTTGAAAAGAATGAAGATCTTGTGTTTAGAATCATCATCTTTCACTCTATTTCGTAAAACTTCTCAAACTCACTCTCCCCTAAGATTCACTATTTTGGACGTTATTTTTCTTTGAGAAAAGGAATGTATATCATCGTGATTTATGAGGAGGACTTGGTGTATTTATAAGCTACAACAGAGACCTTAAGGAGGTGTTAAATATGGATCCCGATATGATTAGGTAACTTAATTAGGTTCTAGTCCACCAACACCCAATGTATATGAATAATATTTCATTCCACTAAAGAAATATTATTGAACTTCCCATTTAAACCCCAAATTATACATAACTTGTCTCCAAGTTTATCTATCAATTCATCTTCCAATGTTTAAGATCTAACATTCGTTAATTAATTTAATTGCTTATAATGTAACTTCATGACAAAACTAGTACCACTCAACCTTTCCATTATGCTGAAAATTAGTCAACCTGCATGGTTTAGCATAAACGTTTTTAATTAGTCTCAACCTTTGCTTGCGCGTGAGGTGCTTGCGAGCATGCGCAACCAGGGCTCAGCTGCGCCCGCGATGCGGCCATTCGCCCAGCACACGCGGCGTCCGTGGCCGACAAATCTTATGGCGCACTTTAACAGCTCAGTCCACCCGCTGTAGAATATTGTCCGCTTTGGGCCCGCTCACCCGCACGGTTTTGCCTTTGGGAGCTAGCTCACCAAAACGCGTCCTACAAGTTAAGGTATCCACACCCTCTTATAAGGCATGTTTCATTCTCCTTAACAACTGATGTGGGATATTACAATCCACCCCCCTTGGGGACCCAGCGTCCTCGCTGGCACACCAGTCCGGGTACTGGCTCTGATACCATCTTTAACAGCCCAGTCCACCCGCTGTAGAATATGTCGGCTTTGGGCCCGCTCACCCGCACGGTTTTACCTTTGGGAGCTAGCTTACCAAAACGCGTCCTACAAGTTAAGGTATCCACACCCTCTTATAAGGCATGTTTCATTCTCCTTAACAACTGATGTGGGATATTACACGCACGATAACTTACGACCATGTTCGGCTCAGGGCCTTAGGCTCAAACACAAGGCTCAAAACATGAATTTAATGGTTTAATCACAAGGCTCAAAC